TGTCTAGTTCAAAGGAGCTTGCCTCTCGAGTCAGGAGGAAAAAGTGTTGAATTTTGGAGACTATGTTGTATACTAACAAGAGCACTGGATAAAGCCTCGGGGGATGTGGATTCTGGCCTCTGCTGCTTTTTTCCCAGGTAACCTTACAAGTTTTTAACTTGCTGTCATTTTTCAGTCTATAAATTGAGATGAATTTTTGTAAGGCATGTAATAAAAATGCCGCCTCCCTGGTATAAGCTGAATTATTTGGTTAGGGAGTGTGAGTTTAAGGCATTGTTCCCACTGGAGCATCAGTGATATGGCAAGCAAATTTTGGGGTGAAAACTTGTTGGAATTTGTGGAAGTTTTTTCGCTTCAAGTTACTGTTGCTCCTCATTAGGATTGCTTTAATGGTAAGAAGCAAGAGGACTCAGGATCAAAAATAACTGTTAAAGCTTGCTTGGTTTTATATGCCATTAATTGTTTGGCAGGATAACAACTGATGCTGGGGCTGCTGAATTTTAAGCAAATGAAAAATAGCTACTTTAGCGGCTTAACCTGCTCAGTGCATCCTGCTACAAAGCTCTAATTAGGAAGAATAATCTGACACTTCATGCTACTGTTAAGATGACATATTGGTCACTCAAGAAAAATAGTTTTGACTGTGCTTTATTGTCAATATTGAGCCCCAAATTATCTCATAAATAGTATTTTTTTTTTTTTTTCTCTAATAAAGGAATGGGAGCTTTAGTAAGCCCAAGTCAATACTAAACTATTCCCTGGCTTACCATGGTAATTCTTGTCTTTATATCAGGCCAACTATTCGGTGTGATGAAGATTCTTCTTCTCATTATATTCTTCTTTTGTAGAAGTCAGCCAATTTAGCTTTCTTGGTACTGTAGCAAAACACCTGAGCGCTGTTTTTACTACTGTAAATGTTTTATGACAACCAGAGCAATTTTACAGGAAAAACTTCCCAATTGTGTAGCTCAGGCTGTTAGTCTAGGAAGAATTTATAGGATAAACAACATACTGCAGCTCTTTTACTGCTGCAGCTTTGAACACAAATAGCTAGTTAATGGGTTCCCTACTGATTTAATCCTGCCTGTAATCTACACCTGCTAATTTAATAAAAGTAATTTCCCATGTCTTGTTTACTACTTGTTTCTGCTCACTTACTCTGACTTGGTTGCAGTGCTGATTGGTGGAAAACTTCTAAAATTCACAGTATACAATGCCGTAGTATCACCATGAACAGCTTTCGTTGGCTTCTGTCATGCTGCATTGTTTGAAGCAGACCGGCAGGATACAAGAGAACAATTGGGAGCTGGAGTAAGTTCACATCTCGCTGCATATGCTTCAAAATTGGCAGAAGAACAATGAGATTGGGGAAATCCCCTTGGACAAGTGCTGCGCAGTAATCTGACTTCAGCATTTGTTCAGAAAAGATCCCCCAAATTGTGGCTTTTTATTCTGAAACGTACAGGCAAGTTTCAATAGGTCAGGAACTGAAAGCTTTCATTTGGAGTGTTTGCCTGTAATTGTAGGTAAACTGACCATTTCTTTGGATGCTTGGGTTATCTTTTCTTAGTTACTGGATAGAGAGAAGCCTGATGCAAAAGAAGCAATCTCTGAGTTTTGCTTAAATGCAGAATTTCAAAGTTACTGTTTAGTTGAATTGGTGAGTTACAGCCCAGAACTGGTCTTCACTTCCTCTTACTTTTGTGGAAGGCTTGAAGTCAAGTTCCTCTGTTGGTACTTGAAAAAAAAAAATTAACTCATGCGGTAGTTTTGAAACTTTGAACACAGAATGTGGAATCTTTCAGCTTTGTGGCATGGGAAGTTGTGTTTGAAATGCTGTTTGACTCTCGGGTGTTTTGTTGAAGAAGTCTTTTTTTATTTAGTAGAAAACTGAATCATAGAATCATTTGGTTGGAAAAGACCTTTAAGATCATCAAGCCCAACAATACCTCTCCACCACTAAACCATGTCTCTAAGGTTTGCCTGGCTTTTAAATCCCTCCAGGGATGGGGACTCGACCCCTTCCCTGGGCAGCCCTTTTCAGGGCTTGACAGCCCTTTTGGGGAAGAAATTTTTTCCAGTGCCCAACCTAAACCTTCCCTGGTGCAACTTGAGGCCGTTTCCTCTCGTCCTATTGCTTGTTTCTTGGGAGAAGAGACGGATGAAATACTAATGTCAGGGACTCTAACTGCATTTTCCAAGAACCACTTCTGAACCTTGCTGTGGTTTGCGTAAGCTTACAGCAGCGCAGCATCCAACCACCCAAGCCTACTGATAGGCCTTCACATCTTTCTGTAATAAATCTTCCCTTATGTTATAGGGGGGAGAGACTTGAATATAAACGTAAGGGCTGTATTAAGGGAGGAATTCAGGTATGTCCATTCTAATGAATTCCACAAAGAATGAAAATACGTTTTTAGTTCCTTTGTATTTAAATTTTGAGTGTCTAACATTCTGCATATGTCCTGTGTACCTGCCTTGCAGATTGATACCTCATCTAAGCACATTTAGGAATTGAAAATCAGTGTTTTGCTGTCCCCGGTATGTCTCAATTAAATAAATACAGCAGGAGAACAGGCCTAGTAAAGTGATTGTGCCTGCTGCAAGCTGCATTGGTGGCAGCCATTTTAAAAATGCTGTAATAGTCTGCTCAATGATAGGAAGACATTTTTACTGGAGCCCCGTGTCAGTGTGTGTGTTCATCATGTGGGAACCCTTCAACGTTCTGACCGATAACCACAGACATTCCAAGAAGGATTTAAGCAGCTCTCCTTGCAGCAAGAAGCCACGTAACTATTTACTTGAATTTTGATGTTCCTCAAGCCTATGAAACTCTAGGGCAGAGAGAGCAGGGTGACTGCCACCTCAGCAGAGGGCAGGTGGTGGTAGATCAGGGTCAACTTCCGTTAGGTGGAGTGAGGAAAAGAAACTGTTGGATGTCCTGTGAAAGTGCTTGAACTGTTAAAGCAATTGCATGTGAGGCAAGAGTACTTGCGGGCATCGTCTTCGTCTTGGATGTGCATCATGAGAAGATGCTAAAGACATCGGGGCTTGCCGTGATCTTAACACTTCCTTTCTGTCTAGCTCTAGGCAGCGAAGCTCAGGAAATAGATTTTGATTCTTATTGTAGGGGTGCCCCTGCACGCTCAGATTTTCTGTCAACAGTATCTAATGTGGGGCCCTGTATTCTGTTCTGGGCCTGAGGAGAGCAGAGACCTGTAGTTAGGTGTCTTGGCTATTAAGTTGCTTTCTTGATTTTGTCTTTGCCAAGCACATAAGGCAATGTAATATCTCAGCAAACACACTAAGGTCATTTTAAAAATAAAGCTTTCTTGTATCTGAACATAAACTCTCCCAGCCTTTTTATGGCTTCCTTGCTAGTTGTGAATGTTCTTTAATATTTTTCATAAAATGTGCATATTTTTGTGACTGATGGTAACATCATTGTATGACTTAATTTTTGTATTTACATATTTCTCAAAATGATAAAACAGTCACAGCCGAAGTACCATTCAGTTCTCTTCCTCAATACGTTGTTTGGGGAAGCTTCCTCTATGGCTCAAACCTTAACTTAATTTGAAATATCTTACAGGAAACAATGCGTACCATAGTTGTATAGTAGTTAATGTTTCTTTGAATTTTCATATCCCTCATCTTTAGACGTAGTCTCTTGTTTGGACATGGATCAAGTTCAATGTATTCTCGTGTTTCACTGATTTTTTTTTTTTTTTTTTTTTTTTTTTTTCCTCCTCCTTGCTGGGTATACGTGGCTTGAGCTGCAACAGGGGTTGTTCTGGGGGTAGCAGCTTCCGTGCTTCGGGCATTTTACATGAAGTATCCTGTGTTCATTTTTCTTCCTGGGTTTCTGGAGGTGGGCACGTAATTCATAGGGGAAGCTGTCCAGAGGCAGCTTCAGTTTGAAATGAGGTATTAAAAGATCCTGTAACTTCTGTTCTAAGAGGAATCTTTTTGCCAAGTTAGCATACTTTTCAAGGGACGTGGAAAAGATAAATGTCTTGCAGAGCTAATCCCTCCCCCTCACTACCCCAAATACCCACTAGTTTGAGAAGGTTAATCAAAATGTCACTTCTCTTTTCAGCTGTCCATCAGTTGCAAACCAGCCCACTCATGCGGTAGCATCAGCCGCTCACCCACTTGGAGGATGACGGACTACTTGGAAAAATTATTTGACTTAGCCCTTGGTAGCTGTACCTGTTAGCTTGTGGGAAGAGCTTTCACTGTACCTACTATGACTAACAGTGGTTAGAGAGCTTGAGATAAAGGTCATTTTTTAATGTCTGTCTGGTGCTAGTCCTGAAATGTGTATGCTGAGCTCTGTTTATGTCTTTTGAAAGTGTGATCTTTCATGAGATTTCTCTCTGTTGTTAACAAACGGATTTGTTGTGGATAGGTCAGCCACTGTTGCGATGGATCCATCTTCCTATAAGATACTTGGTCCTTTGATACTTCTGAGGTCTGTTAAGGATGATACAGAATGTTAATCTGTGAAATTGCATTGGGTGTCATCTTAACCCACTGCACGATATTGCTTACTAATACAAAAAAAGAAAAAGTAACCACATGTGGTGTGAAATGACATTGAGATGAATCTGTTAGGTTGTTCATTCCTTATGTAACTTGTAAGTAAAAGCAAGGTATTTAACGGCTTGACATTGTTCCCGGTCTGGAAGACCGTGCTAGTCATCTGTCTCTTCAGTTGGAGCATTTCAGGGGTAATTTAAATATTAAAAAGGAATTGCTTGATCAACTGTTTTCATAGGCATGGCATAATGAGAGCGGAGGACAGATGGTGATTTCTCAGCTAGACTGAGTTGCTGAACATACTTGCTTCATAGCTGCCTGCTACGCGATGTGGTGCAACATCCCACTAGTGACCCGGAGCCCTGATTCTTTTCCTAAATGGACATCTTTGGAGCGTGTGTTCCTGGTTACGCTTTCTTTACTCCAATAATAGAGTTTTGATCCTTTATTTCTTTCAGGAGGTGGTGGTCTTCTGTTCTCTGGAAAGCTTTTGTCAGAAAGTCCGAAGACATTTTCAGGTGTGACATTTTCAGATGAAATACAGATAACTTATTTTAAACACGAGTTTGCTCAGACATGTAATGAACATGGTACTTTCAGCTATGGAAATTTCAACCTTGCAGACTTCTATTTCAGTTGAAGTGCTGTATTTACATTTCTGAAGATACTGTGAGAAACTGCAAAATAATACAGCAATCAGAAAACCTTTATTGGATATAATGGTGTAACAAATAAAAGCAGTGTAGGAATTCCAAGTTATCATTTCAAGAATGCCATCTTAAAGTACAAACATCCACGTCCTCAGAGCTTGTGGGTCCACATGATAGTCTTTTTTTTTTTTTTTTTTTTTTTTT